GACTTTCAATATATTGGACGAAACATAGTAATATTTTATTTTACCTTATTATAATAATAAGTCTCTATCTAGGACGTCCACGTGGCAGCTTTATTGTAAAGAAAATGCATTTTTTTACCATAGATGTCGCTAGGTGCGCTCAAAATGTGATTCATGTAAGTTGATTTCTTTACAACAGATGTCGTTAAGTGCGCTTAAACGTGATTCATGTAAGTTAATTTTTCTGAGAGATAAACTTTTTTAATGTAATATAAATTGTCATGTTTGTGTACGATAGCGCAATAAATAAATATTGTATTCTTCCATATACATCATAGTACTTTTATACTGATAAATTAAAGCAATTCGTGCAAAATTATTCCCTAACCATTCCAAAATATCAAAAATGCACAACGTTAATATTCAAGTTTTCACCTCTGCCGGCATTCCCGGAGTGCAACCCGTCGTTTTTTTATTGCAAGCGTTTATGCTATGGTGGCCGCTTACCATCAAGCGGTCCATATGCTTGTTTGTCACCCTTTTAATAAAAAATAAACATTAATGATGACGTTAGACATGATTTACGGGCAAATCAACCATTCTCTTTTATACAGTATGCTCAAGTCCTAATAGGGGATATAGGATATGGGTCTTCAAGAGCTTTACTTTTAACCGCTCCACATTTAAGAGTTAAGTTTAAATTTTATATTCCGAATTTAGAATTTAAACTTAACTCTGAAATAAACCGATGTTTACTTTGAGGCGCCTCGTCTGTGCTCGCTTCGGGAATCGCCTTAGCTTAATGTAATTTCATTTTGTGAATTAGTTTGTATTGCCTCTAAAGAAATACATAGAGTGACTCAACTTTAACAAGTTAAAGTTTATCAAAGAGCAAGACTCGGGCGTATGACATTTTTGGTTGTGGAGTGACATATTAATATGCAAGCATGCATAGGTTTTTGTTTTTTTCATAGGTTTGAGGAGATGGTGTAAAAAAAAAATTGAAAATATTTATTATTAATATTTATTTTATATTGTACCATTCGTCTGAATGGTCTGTGGAATGAAAAACCAAATTTCCAAACGATGTTCCACATATTATATTTTATGATCAATATACATTCTAATTTAATAAAATTAATAACAAGAAAATGGAATATGCTGTAAGGATTTCCGATGAGTGCACTAACGAAGTCTCCGGTTGGCGATAAGCATCGAGTTAAACCGTCACAACTAGAAACTCTTAATGAAACGACGCCGTATCTTATTCTCGACTCGCTAAATAAATAAACCGGTTCAGTTCAGTCTGGTTCAGTTAACATTATGAAAACTCTGCTGACACTTTAGACTGAGCTGCCAGGAAAATGCAATAGAGGAAGATTTAAAGCACTTTAGCTGGAATAAGCCCGCAGATTTTGTGCTTTTTAATAAATATAGGTATATTATATTTTCAAGCTTTTTGTTGATATATATTGGTTGCTTTTGTTTATCTCTTATATTAAATTGGGTAGTAAATTTAATGTTTTGTAGGTTATGATATTAACGGTAAAAAAGTGGAAAGCAAGCTTGGGCAGTGGTGGCTTTACCTAGGGTGCAGGATTGCGTTGAACCACCGCCGGCGTCAGTAATTAGGGCACAGCCCAGAGGTTTTAGTGGGTAGTGCTCCCCCATCCCGGGCAGCAGTTGAGCTGCTTTAGGGGATGGACGGGACGAGGGGATCATCATCGTCATCATCAGCCTATTAATGTCCTCACGTGTCCAATGTATGCACAGGCCTACCCTATGGATGGAATAGGGAGATTGGGCCATGACCCACCACGCGGGCCCAGTACGGTAGGTGGGTGCTAACGACTGCAGATGCAGCCGGGACCAACGGCTTAACGTGCCTTCCGAAGCACGGAGGAGCTTGAGATAATAAATTTTTAGTCACCCATCCAATGACCGACGACTGCGAATGTTGCTAAACTTCAACGATCGCAGCCGAATGCGCTAACCACTTGTGCCATCAAGCTTCACTGAGGGGATAGGAGTCTTACATAAACCCGTTGCCAAACCCAGTGGCACTATGCGGCAAGCATTTTCACTAGGTGAAAAAAGAGTGTACGTTATACACGGGCGCAGCGGTCTCAAGGGGCGCCGAGCGTCACTCGCTAGGCCATTACATTTTGACGGCGCGCTTAGTAGAAAGCTCTAAGGTCATTATTGCCGGTACATGGGCTAGAGCCGACTCTGCATATGGGTGCCTGATGGTAAATAGCCGCCATAACCTATAGACTTTGCGATGCCAGATTATCACTCGCGTTGTTGCCTTCTCCGGCCCCTTTCCGGTGGAGACCTTTATTTATTTTTTTGATGACGAGGAGAAAAAAAATGCGTGTGAGGGTCATTGTCGTGCATATAGCACGACAATGACCACCACCGCGTTGGTTTGCTGTTAACAAACCCTCGCGACGCAGATGATTGCGTGGTGCATTCAGCAAGCGGCAAGCAGCCCGAGGGCCAGTAGTCGGTGCCGGTATACTTTGACGTGTGCTCATGCAAGCGTGGCATACGTCAAACCACCCAGCCTCCGACCAGCAGCCCGGTCCGCACCCGCTTTAGCCGATCCTGGGCTGCTCCGTTCAGAGCGTCACCTGACTAGTCTCACGGAACACGGAGGAGACCTAGAAAGTTATTTGAACAAAATACAACACCACCATTTAACGAATAGTCCAAAAAAAATGTATATAGAATAGTTTACAGGCGGAAGATATTTCTATTTCCTCTTCAACACTCAGTCCAGTTTAGAAAAGTTTATAACGCGGAAATAGGTGTTCATTGCAAAAAAGGCAAAATATCACACACGATCGATCAAAAAACGTTCATTCGCAGTTGACAAGTCCAGCCCCTATTTCGTGGATTCAATTCGACATGTATCGACAGGCATTCAGTACAAGAGAGAGCCAATCCGTGAATTCACCGACGGCAATATAAGCGGCTGCACTGATTTAAAGCCACCAGCCTCACACACCGGTCCGCAATAACCAACCATCGATCCCGCATGCCACTGACAGAACTACAAACAATTCCATGTAACTCGGTGCTCGATCTATGTAGCTGAATACCAACATGTAACTGTTGCAGTTAGAAATCGATATTTGAAATATAATGTGTCCGAAAATCTAGGTTATCCTGAAAATTTACAGCACGAGCACTGAAAATTTTCAGCGCGAAATAAAACACCCATGTAGGGTAAAAACCCCTTCTCTTTTTAGAAAACCGTAGCTTAATAACACTATTCATCATCAGCCTATTAATGTCCCCACTGCTGGGGCACAGGCCTTCCCTATGGATGGAATAGGGAGATTGGGCCATGACCCACCACGCGGGCCCAGTGCGGATTGGCGGGTGCTAACGACTGCAGATGCAGCCGGGACCAACGGCTTAACGTGCCTTCCGAAGCACGGAGAAACTCGAGATAGAAGATTTTTGGTCACCCATCCAATGACCGACCACTACGAAAGTTGCTTAACTTCAACTATCGCAGCCGAACGCGCTAACCACCTGCGCCATCGAGCTCCTCCACTAACACTATTAGATATGGGGTATTCTTGTTATTTCTATTCAGTGAGTAATAGCAGATTTCCACCAGGTAAAGGAATTCGGCTGCAGCCAACAAGCTGAAGGTTACTACTAAGCTATTTTCTAGTTAATATTCTTATCTATATTTGGAATAAAATTTCATATTTTACAATATCCATCCGGGTGGGTGGAGTTGCATGAGCATGTTTAAAAAAATAACTTTTTGGCCATTGATATTTTCGCGCTGAATATGAAAAAATATTAAGATATTTAGAAGATCCTGTAAAGAGTTTGTAACTAGGAGGGATAGAAATGATTTATATTGTGCTGAACAAAGCGGAGGCTCATTCCCTCGATGAAAGGGGATAATGATTGAACAGGCTACCATTGAGAACAAGCCGCTCGAAAGAGATAAACCTATGTTTCTCAGCTCGCTACATTGGGTTTCCCGTAAAGAATCACGATGATAACGTATTGCCACCCATTTATGAAGTAATAATCATCAAAGAGGCTTTTTCAAACAGTAGGTTTATTTCTTTTAAAAGAGGCTTGATTTCAAATAAAAGTTTTGCGAAGAATTAAATGCAGAAACAGAAGGAAGTGCTGTTGTTAGTTTCCAAATTAATGTATATAGGGACAACTATAAATTCCTGACTAAGCACTAATAAGATCATTTACAAGTTTTAAATGCTAAATTTTTTAATATAAATAAATAATAATAAAAGTTTAATGTTTAAATTTGAAATTGAATTTATAATAAGTTGCGTCCGTATTAATAAAAGCGAAAAGTGAAACTATTCAACAAAGCTCTGTAGTGTCCGTTATTAACAAAGTTGGGGTAGGTCCTATCGTTCGCATTGCCGTCGGTAGAACGGGTAAAACGTGAAGAGTCAGCTAGTTCGCAAACCACAGTTGAAAACTAGGTCTGTCCTACTATTTTTATTTACTGCACATCTCAGAACATTAATTCATATAAAACAATTTCTTTCCATGTCCTGTGATTAATATTGTATGCAGTTATAAGACGTAAATACATAATTATGAAAGCATCATAAAACTTCTGAAGTCACTGTTGAATTTTAAATAGATTAGGATTTCTAAAATAATATTAATTTACGTGATACGAATCAACTCTTACTTTTTTACTTTAATCATTCACCTTTCAGCCACCGCTGCGACGGCGGGCGGATGGATGTCGCTCCTGCCACGCTTGCGTTTCTTGGTCCTCTTCTGGGAGTAGGACGCTAACAGCAACTACTTCCACGTTATCCACGCACTCTTTTAAAGTCTTGCTAGCGTCCACTTTTTTATCTCCACCGTCTACTTTACCTTTCAGCCACAGCCGCGATGGCTGGTGCGTGGTTGGTGGCGCTCCTGCCGTGCTTGCGTTTCGTGGAGACTTCGATAGCGTCCACATCTCTTTACATCTTTTATCGTTACCGTTTAATTTACGTACTCACCTTTCAGCCACAGCCGCGACGGCCGGCGCGTGGTGAATGGCGCTCCTGCCGCGCTTGCGTCTCCTGGTCCTCTTTCGGGAGTAGGACGCCAGCAGTAACCACTTCCTGGTGTCCATGCGTTCCTTGGAGTCTTTCGCTAGCGCCCGCACCGCCAACGAAGACGGATCGAAGCTAAACGTGGAGTCGTCGCGGTGTTCATTAAGATCCTTCTTCCTTTCCTGAGGACAAAATGTGTGATGAGTTCACGCACGCACTTTGCTTTAGAGGTATAGATGTATGTTGGTTCTTCATTAATTTTATTCAGTCTAATATTTTTTTGTTAGTTGCGGTGCAAGCAAACGCATCAGACTGCACGCGGAGCGTTCGGACTTTTGGCGCTAAAAGCGTGTTTTATGCTCCTTCACTTGCATACACAAATTTATCGTCCCCCAAAAGCCCTTTGATTTTGTCTAGCGTCTATCGTCACGCAGCTCGATAATTGGTTACAATAGCAGCTAATAACTTCCCTTACCTACGTTTATTGCGATCATAGACGAAGCTTCGTGGCGATTGACGCAAGTGTGGGAGACGAATAAGTATGGGTTAAAGAAACATATTATATTTAAGAGGATAGACTACACCATAACGATGACTGCGCGAGTTGAACCCTAACCTCCGATTTATCCTGTCAAGCATTAAGGTGTTAGTATTCATATTTAGAAAAATAGAATGGAATCTATCAATGGTGCTCGATGGACGTTAAATGCATTTTTCACTACGGACATTTGGCATTGAAAGGCAAAACTAAAACCCGGCCGGTTCCAACATTTAGAATTTCCGCAGCAGCCGATGTGTTCTGCGAATTTCAATAAAAAGCGCGCGATGTGGAAATTTTTGCACATATTTTTATTTCAATCGGGGAATATTTTTCACAAACAATGACGTTGTTTTTTTCGTCTTGCACCTATTGTGATTTTTAATATTATGCATTCGTTGCAGATGACTGAGTAGGCGATTTGACGGATTGCGCTTTTGAATTTTTTGTAGCAAATTTCAGAATATGAATAGCGGTGAAATTTTGAAATTCCAACTTGTTATTTTGTTCGTAGTTTTGAGCCTCGTGACTCGTCGTAAATATTTTGATTTAAATTGCCTATATAAAATTGCTAACTCGCACACGGACAGCCCCTCGCTTCTGAATTTCAATATTAGATACAAGTCTCGTAATCCTAATTTTTCAAGTATTTACTAACAATACTTCTTATTATTACCCAATAGTCAGGATGTGACGTGCCTATTATGAGTTGGTTAGTGTACATAAAGATGTGGATTTTTTTAGTCTCAACCTGAATCAATTTAAAATATGTGTTCTAGAATTCGTAGGTTCTTCTTTCTTCTTTTTCTTTTTTTATGGCATGCACGGTTTGTGCGTTCAGCCAATGTCAAGTAAAAATTGGGGAAACATTATAGGAAAAAAGGAATCGGAAATATTACGAAATTTGGAAAGGATCAGGATTGTAGAAAATATACATATTTACATTTAAAGTTTAATATTATTGAGCAAAAGGAAAGATATAATACATTTATACACAGATAGGTCATTAGTATGTAGAAGTGTAGCTATATTGGTCGGGAATGGTATATGAAGTGATGTTAAGTCATTGAAAAGTAAGGATCTATGGAACAGAGGACAGGAAAACACAATGTGATCAACATTTCCCTCATCTAACCCGCAGTCACACCTAGGATTATTTATTATATTGAGTTTGGCAAGATGGGAAGGCACAGACGAATGGCCCAGTCTCATTCTGTTAATCATGGACGTCTCCGTCTTACCAAACTTCATATTGAAAAACCAAGGTTTAGAAGGAATGTCAGCCTGAATTGCAGCATAAAATTTACCTCTTGTTAGTTTACTATATTTCCACAATTGTTCCCATCCTTCATGCAATACAGATTTAGGAATAGCTAATAAATCTAAACAATAATTCTGGAACGGAAAAACATCGCCACATGATTTAGCATCTCTTGCCAGTCTGTCAGCTAATTCATTTCCAGCTATGCCGATATGGGCAGCAATCCACGCAAATTCTATATGCTAACCATTTTTGATACATTCCTGTGTCATTTGTCTAATATTAAAAATGATAGGGGAATAATTTTTCAATTTAAATGGGAACTTTTCTAGTGATTGTAAGGCACTTTTTGAATCTGAAAATATTACAGCAGGTTTAAGTTTCATGATTTTAATGTATTCAACTGCTTTAAAAATACCAAAACATTCTCCTGAATAAACCGACGATTCTGGAGGAAGTTTAACTTTTTGCACAATATTATACTGAGAATGATAAACTCCTATCCCAACACACGTAGTCGATAAATGTTTAGAAGCATCGCAAAATATATGGTGGAAATAATTAAATACAGTATTAATAATATGAGAAAATTTTAATTTAGCATTCAAATCATATTTGTCTACTAAATCATAATGCACGATAGGAGAATAAGTTAAAGCTTCAAACGGAACATTAAACATAGGAAGGAAATTAGAACTGTATGTGGGGGCAGAAAGTGAAGCAAATCTTCTATAACTAATTAAAAGACATGGTAGAGATTTATTGGCGCAATAACTAGAAGTTTGAATTTTTTCATTGAGTACTATAAGTAAAGAAAGCAATGGATGATTAGAAAATTGCATTGTACGAACAAAGAACTTGTCGCAGATGAATTGCCGTCGCAATACTAAAGAAGGTTCACAGCATTCTACTTGCATAGAGTTTATTGGACTCGACTTCATAGCTCCTAATATTATTCGAAGGGCTTTACTCTGAATTTTATCTAGTTTATTAAAGGCTGTTATATTTCCTGGTTCTAGCAAAAAGGAGCCATAATCTAAAATGCTTCTTATTAGAGCATTATAGATCAATTTCAAAGAATACGAGTGAGCACCCCACCAAACTCCTGACAGGTACCTTAGCATGTTCAATAAGCGTTCACATTTGTTAACAACGTATTCGCAATGGCGGTTGCCAGTAAGCTTAGAATCTAAGACGACGCCCAAAAATTTGACGTGGTCCGCAACTGGAATTAGAGTGTTATCGTAAGTAAGAGAAATGGGATTGACTTTATTCTTGCGTGAAAAAATAACAACAGAACTCTTAGAAGCAGAAAGTTCCAAACCATTAGAATCCATCCAACTTTTTAAATTTAACAATGCTGCTGACAAAAATTTCTGCGACTCATTGATGGATTTATTAATATTAAACAACAAAAGGTCATCGGCATACTGAAGTATCTTAATATTGTTGTTTGAGCAAATAGTGTTTTCTAAATCGTGCGTGTATATATTATATAAACTAGGACTAAGCACAGATCCCTGTGGAAGGCCCTTAGAAACTGTCCTGGAAAAGACAACATCATCGTTGTATATGTTTATAATACGGTCTGACAACATTTTAATAATAATATTAGTGATGATAGGAGGAACATGTAAAGATTCTAGTTTATATTTGAGTATATCCAATAAAACATTGTCATACGCGGAAGACAAGTCAACAAATACAGCTACTAACGAATTGTTGTCTGCAAAAGCTATGCGAATATCTGTGGTAAGGATAGAAATATTATCAAGAGTGCTTTTACCTTTCCTAAACCCATACTGGGTATTAGAAAATAATCCTCTACTCTCAATAAACCATTCTAAACGATTTTTAATCAAATGTTCCATTAATTTTAACAAAACTGACGATAAAGCGATGGGACGATATGAAAAAGCTTCAGATGGATTTTTTCCCGGTTTTAAGATGGGCAACACTGTTTGCTGTTTCCAAGATGGAGGAATATTACCCGAGATCATCACAGAATTTATTACGTCTAAATAATATTGTAAAGTACTGTTGCAAACATTTTTAAAACAAGCATACTGGATGCCATCACTCCCAGGAGCAGAATTCTTACAATTGAGGATTATACCCCTCAATTCGTATAATGTAAACAATGGAGTATCAATGTCAGATAGGTTATGTGATATGAAAGAAGGAATGTTATTAGCTACCCAAGGGGGAGCTAATTTGTCAAGAAACGGATTAATTAAAGCAGGTGGGATTGATGAGGATGAATTATTAAAGGAAGACGATTTAAATCTTCTAATATTTTGCCATACAAGACTAGGAGGGGTATTGGGAGAAATCGAACTGCAGAATCTACGCCACCCATCGAATTTCTTTTGTTTAAAGAGCTTTTTGCATTTTTTTATTAGTTCTGACATACTTTCATAATTACTTATAGTCATATCTGCTTTATACCTTCTCTCAGCAGCTTTTCTTTCATTTACAGCCTGAGTACAATCGCTGTCCCACCAAGGAGGGGATGGAATTTTATTAGAGGAGCTTTTTTGTGGGAAAGTCTCATTAGCAGCATCATAAAGAACTTTACTTAATTCATCTGCAGCTGCCGGCTCAGTTCCACAATGTATATGCGGAAGGGAGGATAGTTTTGCCTGAACAGAAAGCCTGAATTTCTCCCAGTCTTTACTTTCTTTATTTGGAAGTCTATGTTTGAGATGAGCAATGCGACGAGTGGTTACAGGTTTAGAAAAAGGAAAGGATATTATAATTGGATAATGGTCACTACCATAGCAAGAAGAAAGTGTATCCCATGTTACGCCAGATGCAAGACTTGGTGAACATAAAGATAAATCAACTGCACTATTATTTTGTCCAGGTTTTGTTATTCGAGTGTTTCTACCAGAGTGTTCAAAATGCAGATGTTTAAATTGTCAATAAAATCTAATAATATTTCCCCATAATTGTTTGTAATGGAACTCCCCCATGTTTGATGGTGACAATTAAAGTCACCTAAAACCATATAAGGTTTAGGTAATGTATTTAATATTTGATTTACTTCATTTAAAATGTTTATAGAAGGGTGAGAAATATATATGGAAACAAAACATATGTTATAGACCTTAACAGCCACTATAGAAATATTTTCATGATGAGTGGGTAAAGAAATAGGAGTAAAAGGGACTGATTTTTTAATGAGAATAGCTACACCACCGCAGCCATCACGCCTATCTTCACGGAGAGCAATATATCCATAAGCTTTTAGCTTATGATGAGATTTTAGCCATGTCTCGGATAAAACAAAGATAAAAGGATCATATTTATTAAGAAGGAAAATTACATCACTTATTTTGTTATGAATACTTCTGCAATTCCATTGTATGATTTTAGCTTTGTTGTCCATTTTGAAGAACTTTGATTAAATTTGATATTATAGATTCAGCGTTGGACGGTGAAGGAGAAGTAGATTGTGAGTTAGTGTTAAAATGAGCTAGAAAAGAGAGCAGTAATTGGATTATGTCATTAATAGACATTTGAGACTTATTTACATCCTGATGACTGAATCCACAACCATCAGAAGGTAAAGGACAGTCATAATCCTTAATAAGAGCCTTGTGAGATTCAGTATCATAGCCATGAAGTTGTTTTGGTGGTGCACGAGGCTTTAAAAATACAGTCTTTTTATATGATGAAGTTGTAGGTTTATTGTTAGATTCAATGTTGGATGGAATAGTTTTGAGAGTAGAGGATTTGGCAAAATTGTTGGAGGTAACATTGGAATATAATTTACTAATTCTAGGGTAAGACTTGGAGGCTTCAACATACGAAACACAGTTATTAGCCATGTAGACTTTAATCTCTTTTTGGCGGATATACTCTGCACAAGATTTATTTGTAGCAAAATGTGTACCTTCACATGAACAACAGAAAGCTTCACATTCTTCTGTATCACAAGAATCACATACATGATTCCCACCACACTTGAAACATCGCGGTCTTGATCTACATTGTGTTCTTGTATGGCCAAAGCGGCAGCAGTTATAACACTGTATGGTTGGGTAAATATATAAGTCCACAGGCAATGAATTGTAACACATAAAGATCCGTTTAGGGAGAATTTGACCATCAAAAGTAACAACAATTGATTGAGTGGGCTTCCAGATTACAGAGCTTTCTTGGTAAACTTTATAATTAATACGCCTTACTTTGATTATTTTACCACAACCAATAGGCACTGAAATATTTTCTATTATCTCTTCAGGGGACCATTCCACAGGAACACCACGAACTAGACCCATCCGTGTTACATTAAATGTAGGTATAAAGGCCTTCATTCTGTTAGCTTCTAAAATTTTATTGCAAATGAAGGAGTTAGCTGCCAAGTGAGTTGAAAAAGATAATGTGATTTTATTACGGCCGATAAGTTTCACCCTACCATTAACAATGTTATCGAACTTGTTCTTTTTAAGGAAGTTTCCAAATGACACAGGATGTATTGATGCGTTATCATTTGGCTCATTCTGTATTTTATGAACATGTACCACAAATGGAGAATTATCAGTAGAAGTATAGAGGTTGCGACCTATGGGAGAAGGAGTAACTGTGGGTTGAAGAACAGTGGAAGATGATTGAGGATCAGAAACGTCTTGTGACTTTTCTGAACATTCGACTTGAGGCAAAGAGGGTTTTTTCGGTGATAATTCATGACATATGCAACTATTCATTTCCGAACCTTGGTTTCTGCGTCGTTTTTTATTGCATTGCTTGCATACGTGTATGCGACTGCGTTTCAAAGTACGTCTATTAATTGATCCATCTGTTTCCATGCCAGATTCATTGGAAACAGTAATATAAAGTCCAGCCGGGGGAACTTTGTCCCCCGGCTGCCCCCCATCAGGGGGATCGTTCATTAATGAAAACTATGCAACTTACCTAAGCTCCTTCTATGTACAAAAATTATGAAATATATACAAAATTACATACAACTTATATACAAATATACAATTCTGATCACTTTTAAGACTAAATAATAAATTAAAATCACCAAAGCCAAAAAACGCGCCCGCCAAGTTCAACGTTTCCCGCCTTTTCAATTCGTAGGTTAAGCGCTTCGATATTTTTTTTTAGTTTGCTTTATTTAATATGTACTTAATAATATCGTATTTCATTGATTTGCTAATGTTGTGTTTTTCTTGTGATATAATATAATTTCATTAATATATTTAAATCAATTGTAAGTAATTTTATAGAATTTATAGTTTTCAATTTGATTTTGTTTGAATGAATTTAATTTAATGCAATGTAACAAATAATATCGAATTGGTGTTATTTGTTTGATAAACTCCTTACCCTACATCCTATTTATACCACGCACCTCTTGTGTGATCTGCGACTCCTCTTCATAGCTGAGGGCGACGACGGCCAGCATCAGGTTGATGAGGTAGAACGAACCGAAGAACACCACCACAGTGAAGAATGACACCGACATCGGCCCGCACGATGACAGCACCTGTCAAAACATAAATAGTTAAATAATTTCAAAGCATAAGAACAAGCAATAGTACACTTTAAAAAGTTATGGAAATATATGCCTTAAAAGTTTTTTTTACTTAAGGGTATTATGGTGGCTAGCGCGTTCGACTGCGATCGTTGAAGTGATCGTTTTTGTACTGCATTTCCCCTCGTCACAAAAAAAATGGTATTCTGTAAGATAGAATCTCACTTACGATCTCATTTAGGTATTCAAATTTTCTGACAAATGTCAGAAAAGCTTCTACAGACATAGCTACATTTTGTTGTGTAATGTAGTAGAGTAATGTATATCAAACTAATGTCTAACATGGCAGCTACCGAAATCGGAAGTGGGATTTTTATTTTACAGAATCGCCGTACAGATCGAATTGAGAACCTTCCCTTTTAAAGTCGGTTAAAAAGTGTTTTACGGGCGCGACACCCCTATAACAATAGGTACAAACAAAACAGAGCAGAGCGATTATAGAAAAAGAAAGATCTCCCTTTCTTTGTTTTTTCAACTGGACCCTGGTTCTAATACAAAATATAGCTGATTAGAATATAGCTTTCTATTTATAACATTTTTTTTACATTTCTGTGGATGCAACAGCTACTAGCCCTTGCTAGCTTGAACCTTATATCTTTATCTGTCCCTTGATAAACTTGGCTTTTTTCCGTTCATTTAACAAATGTGTTGATTATTTCTAAAATGCAACAAGATTTGTTTCGCTTTGTGTTACTTGTAATTGGATATGTCTGATTGCCAAGACAACATAGACATAAACTGCAGAGAAAAACCTTTTCAAAACTTTAAACAACAAGTATTCCTTTCATAAAGTTGTTTAGATATTGAAATTTTTCATCCGTACGCCTCAGCCGTCATGTCGTAGCGAGCGATGAATTTTCAATAAGGATTATTAAATATTTTACTCTACAGTAGAGTATCTTATTCTATTATAAGTAGATATCGGATAGTCGGATGCATATTTACCTAAAGTTGATGCTGAAACAATACCGCGATTCCGGATAATTAAAACTTAAGTGTATATACGATAATTATGATAACCGATCTCTAATTATAAGACACAATGGAGAATGAAAACCGGCCGCCGAAGAAGGTTTCCCCAACGCTATATCATCGTACACGCTTCTTTTAATTTAAAAGATAGTTAGGCATGACTTTAATATAGGCCGGAGATACAGAAGACCCTGAAACCCTAAATACAAAATGTATTACCTAACTAGCGGCCGCCCGCGACTTCGTACGCGTGGAGTTAGTTAGAAATTAAGGTTCATTGCTCGTTCTTCGTAGGTGAAAGCGTGATAATATGTAGCCTATATGTTGACCCGACTTCTTAATAATATTGGTGCCAAATTTGAAGTAAATCCATGCAGTACTTTATGAGTTTATCCCGGACATACATACAGACAAACAGACAAAATTCGAAAAACTATATTTTTGACTTCGGTATCGACTGTAGATCACACACCATGTATTATTTAAAAAAACAATGTACAGTTTTGACTTTCCTACCATTTAATTATATGTATAGATAAGGAATAAAAACACACACACTTTCTTTAAACCGGAAGAGAAAGGAAAGCCTAGAATGCGTTTAATTAACTTTATCTATGTAAATTAAATATTTTCAAAGATATAGCTAGATAGTAGATGGTAGAACCATACCTACAAAAGGGAAGGTATAGTCAGTTAACAAATTATTGTTTGGGATCGGATGGCAAGTGGTTGTTGCGAAACCACATCTTTGATACCGACATTGTTAAGCGTGTTTTAATATATTAGGTATATATATATATATATAGAACTCTATCAAGGATTAACGTTACTGGGGTATTCGCATTACATATAATATATATAGAAAAAGTCTTGAATGAATTCTATTGCACGTAGCTAAGTTGTGTTACTTAACATCTGAAGACGAAAATAGATAAAATGAGGAACGAGCATTAGGATAAGTTAAAAAGTCTCATCTGTGACAGAAATATTGAGAAGTAGCCGGTTGTCATGGGCAGTGACAAAAGGGTGGATGGTCAAGAAGGAGGGAAAGACTTCAAGAAAAAATTGTGGATTGTGAAAAGATGATATGGAAAAGGAATTTTATATGATGAGATGACAGCTGGTTGTACAGAATGGAAAGGAGAAGCAATGCGCTGACCCCAAATAAACTGGAGCTTGGGAGACTAAACAAGTGGCATTATTTGTATCAATTTGAACGATAATGATAATTTTAAAGTTGAAAATTAAACATTAATCAATAAAAAATTATAATAAATGATTTATCTTTCAACTTATTAACACAAAAAAGTAAGACATGCGTTCAACACGAGTTCAAAATAAATGACATAACAATTTTCGTTTACAAGGTTTAAAACAATGTATAAGTTTTTTGTAGTAAGACCGTAAGTTTTTAACAATATTCTTTTAATTAAACTAAACAAAGTTGCGAGAAGGGTTGAGCAACAACATTTTAAGAGGTAATCGTTGGCAGCTGCCCTAGTGTAAACTGTGTCACAGCTGCCAGCGCCTCTTCCCAGGAAATGTCACGAAATTGGGCTTAAGATTTAGATACGTCTAAAATGTAGATTATTATTATTGTGCGACTTTATCAAGCTTTCGCTTTTCGTATTTCAAATTATAAATTAAGCAATAACTTTAAAGTTTATTGCTTAAAATTAGGCATTAGCGTTAGCTTTCGTTTGAATAGAAATATGGCCATTTGCCTTAGGCGAGCGCCAGGGAAAGCAAATGATGGATAATAAGCAGAATGAGAGGCACACATAAATAAAGTACCTAATTAACTCTAAAAAATTATTCAAAGCGTTTGACAAATCAAGCATGCCGTTTAAAAGGAAGCCCCGCTATTAACTTTGATTGACCGTTTAATTAGCTTGCGGAATATAATTAGAGCAGAGGGCAAAAGTGAACCGTGTTTTCAGTCGTTGTTAGCTGTTTGACAAAATACTTTTATTTATACATAAAGAACTTAGTTACATTATCTTTGTCTCGTAAAGAGTCTTCTTATTAGAATTAATTTGACGTTGTGAAGTTTTTTTGGCCCGTTTTTCTGTTTACAGTTAAAAATGTCCTTAACGGTTGTTAGGGGAAAAATATGGACGATTCATAAGAAATGTATTATGCTTCTAACTTGAATAAAGAAATTTTGAATTTTAATCCAGGTCTAATGGGCATCTGACTTTAATACTTCCGGGTCTTAGGTTTCAAACTCACCCATGTCAAACAAATTTTGTCATTATGTTGATAGTTGGTTTCAATTTGCATAACTCCGTTCAAATTGTCTTTGTGTAGTAGCATCTTTAGCTTTTAAGTTTTCATGGGCATATTTATAATGCAGGTAAAGGTCGTACTGAGCCCTTAATTAAATCTCCTTTGGACCCACCGCGCAGGCGGTCTTGTTGTGGTAGGAGACGGGTCCTAACTAAACATTCAGATGAATTGTTAGATAGTTGTTTATATCCAGAACAGACGAAGGTTACGTACAACGAGGCACCTATTTCGTATTTAAATGTAACAAAACATCGCAAGATAGGCAATACGTCAATAATCTTGAAAATGTTCATACTCCATAAAATATAATATTTATAATTCTGTTGCTTTTAAATTATATAAAAAAACGAACCTAAAAGCGTTGTTAAATAAAACTAGTTTTTCACGGGTTAATGCACGAAACTTTATTTATTTATTGACGTTTCGCAGCCTTTATAGGCTGCTTCGTCGGAATCAATTTTTTTATTTAATTTTGTTTAGCTATCTTCGAAAGACTTTTACTGAGCGTTGGTTATTTCATTGTTCGATTTTTAAAGTTTTATTGTCTATGTATGAATTTATTACTTAATTTAGTTAATAAAGTACTTTATTTAAAATTCTTTTTTGTAATTTTGAGTTTATTTATCTGACCCTAACTACCGTAAACTACTACCGGTTACAAAATTGGGAGACCTTTCTGAGAAAAACCGGCGAAACAAACTCAAGTGAGGTTTTCTATCTCCTTCTTATGTTAAATTATGCAAACAAAAAGAACTAATAGTATCTGTTGGTCTTGCAGTGTATGCTCGGGGTTGGGATTTTATCTCCTGTATAATGGGTTTCCAAGATGGTGGTATATACCAACCATCTTCCCTATTGAAATTTGGATATTTTTTAATCTCAATAGCCTCGCGTATTATTCTAGGAATGAATCGTTGCTCAGTTGCAAGCATCTGTGGTTTATCAAATCTAATGTAATGGTTTGGTTCCCCTAATGCATAAATAAAAAAAATGATTCCCACGACGCAGCCTGTGAAGGCTGCGAAAAGTCAATAAATAAATAAAGTTTCGTGCATTAACCCGTGAAAAACTAGTTTTAATTAATGAGTGATGTGCGTGAAAACCTAAGAAACAAATAAAAGTGTTGTTTTTAAATATGTAGTTGAAACGCAGTTTCTATAGCATATAGGGCGTGTTTACAGGAAGGCAGTGTCACACGGCTCTCATGCAAATGTCAAACAGTGCAAAGTGATATCACTTCGACAGCATCTTTACAAGCAGATGACGGCATTTTAGACTCCACCAATCCTATGCGTTTTCGGTCACTTGACAATATAACAAAAATACTTATCTATCTCATGATCTTTTTTAGTATCATCATAAACTACTTTTTTGTCAGAATAGTGAAACTGCTGCCAATATTCTGAATATACATGCAAAAATTGGTGTTTTATTTTTCAAACTGTCAAACAGCCTATCTTCCAATCATAGCATAGCGGTTTTCAACAGTATTGTGGTTAGATAATTTATTGGCGATAACGTTTTGTTTATATGATGGGGTGACTCAATAGGAAATGCCGAAATGAAATATTTAACTAGGAAATCTTAACATTGAAGAAGCCAATTGGTTAATTAGTTGTTAATTGTCTAGTTTGATCCTAGGTTGCATTTTTTAATATAATGGTTTTTTTAATAAAATATATTAATAGGTGAAAAAAGAAAGTGTTTGATATAAGGAAACCAAAAATTGACTTAATAAAAAAACTATAAAGCAATTTATGAGCAAAAGCAATTATTATATATTCATTCACTATCCAGTTGGATGGTAGGATGGAGGATAGGATGGTAATGATGATAAATAAAGGAAAAGTTTAATCACCAAATAATTTTCACAACCTCAGTGGTTCTAGTGGATTGTATGCCGGTATTCGAGGTGTTTTCGTCTACTCAGAGGTCCCGTGTTTGAATCCCGGTGGGAAAAATGTTTGTGTGATGAATATGAGCATTTATACCAAAGTGAATGGATGTTTATACATATATATGTCTAGATGACTATACTTATATAAGTACTAGAATTATGTATTTATTCTCTTCGTTACCCTAGTATCTCATGACATAAGCCTTCCAGTCGTGACTTTGGGGCTAGGCTAATTGGTGTGCGTGTGTTAGAAATATTTATTTATTTACCATATGTTTATCAACGTTCTCCTAGAAGTCGAGGGTGATTATCTGAAAAGTGGTGATCATAGACTACAGGAAGTTGTCGGAGTTGGTGTAGCCGAGGTTGGGATCTGGGCCGACGTACAGGCACGTGAACCCGCCCGGGGCAGGTGCCACGCCCTCGTCAGGTTCCCGCAGATCATATTCACTATCCATTTGTATGGTTTAGTAAATAATAGAATCGTTCACTCACCATGTTGTAAACGTTCTCCCAGTAGTTGAAGGTGACCAGCTGAAAAGTAGTGATTATGGACCACAAGAAGTGGTCAAAGTTGGTGTAGCCGTGATTGGGGTTGGGGCCGACGCACAGGCAAGTGAACCCGCCGAGGCAGTGCCGCGCGCCGGTGAGGTTCCCGTAAATTATAGGCACTTCTTCGACATCCATTATCAGTTTGGATGGTTCAGTAAATAAAGGAATCGTTCGCTCATCATATTGTAAACGTTCTCCCAGTAGTCGAGGGTGATCAGCTGGAAGGTGATGAGCATGGACCACAGAAAGTTGTCGAAGTTGGTGTAGTCGTGGTTGGGGTTGGAACCAACGCACAGGAACGTAAAACCCGCCCGGGGCAGTGCCGCGCCCTCGTCAGGTTCCCGCAGATTATAGGCACTTCTTCGACATCCATTATCAGTTTGGATGGTTAAGTAAATAAAGGAATCGTTCACTCACCATATTGTAAACGTTCTCCCAGTAGTCGAGGGTGATCAGCTGGAAGGTGGTGAGCATAGACCACAGGAAGTTGTCGAAGTTGGTGTAGCCGTGGTTGGGGTTGGGGCCGACGCACAGGCACGTGAACCCGCCAGGGCAGTGCCGCGCCCCGGTCAGGTTCCCGCAAATTATAGGCACTTCTTCGTCATCCACTATCCAGTTGGAGCGATCGCTGATCCACCTGCATAATAAAATAGAATACACTAACAGCCGCACTCAGAAAGTTCAAGTAAAAATGTCATTTAAAATCACGTGTTGTCGCATTCTGATGCCATCGTGATGAAAGAGCACTATTTTTAATCAAATTTAAAAGTTGATCAACGTTTCTCAGTGCGGAAGGGACTTCTTAAATAGCGGAATATTGCGCTGTATAATATAATGTATCGTAGGATGATTTGATAAATATATATTTTACGAACATCCTAGGGATTTTGCGACATATGCGTATTAGACAATGGCGATGAATATGCTCAATCTTACTGTTAACGATATTTTTTCTGGCTGGCGCTTTGTGGTCGATCATGGCCACAACACTAACCTAACCTTACCTAGTGTGAACCCAAAACCCCAAGAATATTTATAATAAGCCAAAGATTCTTTTCGCTAAGGTGACTAGCGTTTTTACCAAACTCCTATCTTTTTTCAGTAAGAGAAACGTCATTGCCGTTGTCTAATTGGCCGCGTTTTTATCCGTGTAATTATCTAATTATCCGCAAAATCCTTTTCGATTCGCAAAACGATTTTCGTGAAAATTCGATTTATCAAATCATTCATCGACATAAAAGTATGGCGCTTGTATTGTACTTCAAACGCCAAAGAATTTATGTTCGCTAAACTCGTGCGCTCTCTGGTAGCTGGCAGTTATATATACTTGAATAGAATAATAAAATAATGTAAATAACAAAAAAAGTTATTTTGTTCTTTAACGAGAGTTCCTTGTTTCCTTTCTACAGTTGACAATATGTTATCCAAATTAAAAACAAACGGTTATAACTGACAAATATGATATTGGCGCTATGCTCGACATTCTGCGCAGTTTTGACTTACTTGGGGCTAGGCTAGTGAGAAAATTCCACTGTGAAAAGGCGTCACTGTGATATGAGGTCCTTTTGTATGAAGTTTTTAGCGCGAATAAAACGAACAAGCATTTAAATTGCTCCATAGACTAAGACGACGTCGGAGTTTTGACGGATGAGTAGACCTTTCGTCTCAGTGCTGCTACCTGGTGCCCGTCATTGCAAAAAACCCTCATTGGTGTGAGTGCTGGAAATATTAATTTATTAATTATTATTCGAATTGAAACTTACTGCGACCACAGTTCGTCGGTGAAGTTCTCCCCGGGCGGCAATACGAGGTTCCTCACGCACTTGTTGCGCAGCTCGCCCATGTACACCTGCAGCGCGAACAGCGCGAACACCATCAGGCAAAAGATGGTCAGCGTCATCACCTCCGCTAGCTGTTTGAACGAGTGCAGCAGCGCGTTGATGATGGTCTTCAGACCTGGGTGCGGGAATAAAGTCACCATCATCATTATGACCCACTACGCAGAGTCAGTGCGGATTGGTGGGTGCTAACGACTGCAGATGCAGCCGGGACTAACGGCTAAACATGCCCTCCGAAGCACGGAGGAGCTCGATATAATTAGTTTTTGGTCAACCATCTAATGACCGTCTATTGCGAAAGTTGCTTTACTTCCACGATCGCAGGCCGAACGCGCTGACCACCGGCGCCATTGAGCTCCTCAGACAGGAAAGTAACTTTGTACATTATTTAAACAGTGCCAAGAGAATTTTAATATCAGGTTTGATAAATCACTTAAGGAGTTGATTGCAGACTGTGTTAAAGAAGTCGTAAAAAAAAGTCTACGGCCACGTATCTTTTTATGTATGAAAACCATGTCTCAAAAACTACTCAACGGGATTTTCATGTGGTTTACGTTGGGTTTTCATCATCAGTCAGATGATTTTCACAGTAACTTACTTTGTAAGTCAATCGTCGTAAGTATTATGTTTTAATAATCTCGAGGTAAAGAGAGGATGGTTCCTTAATATAATATAAGTACTTAATACTTATCTGCAGTATTATTATTGTTCAAGATACAGTAGCTAGTTACCTATGCAAAAATCCTTTTGTTTTTGTTTCCAGAATAGGCTCGTTTTCATTTTGCACAATAATAGCTCGCTACCATAAGCCACGATACAAATCTTTGCCATAAAGCGGGCTACTGACATCCCTGCCGCATGGCCAATCTAGGGCGCACGGCGGTCGGGGCAATATCGGCTTGTCTATACACACATGCCTGCTATTCAGTGTTAGGCTATAAGTTGAGCTAAACACACGCGTTGATAATCGCCCTAGTATTATCAAAAATTCAAAACATCGGTAGGTATTGGCTCTTTCTATGGTGTATACGCAAAAAAGGAAATGCTGGGTGAAGAATTGGGAACAGAAAGAAATATATAGTAAATAATATAATTAATGTGTGTTTTTTTATCCCACATGTGGGGCCGGTATTTATATACTTCTATCACTCGAGACCAAACTTCATGCTCATTATGATCTGCCGCCTTCTGATCAAAATACGTGCGCTCCATGTGACAGTTAACAACCAACTGATTGAGTAATTGCCCCGATCGCGCTACACACGCGGCAACGTTCAGGGCGGCAGTATCTAGGAACCAAGGGTGGTCTCGCGCCCCGGCCGCCTTGCCGCCTTGCCGCAAGGCTTATTTAGAAAATGCCCATTGCCCCTGCTTGCCTACACACATCACAATTAAGGAGGCAATTCAGGATCATTCCTTCTGTTACACCCTAGATTGCCCCTGCGGCAGGGATGTCAGTAGCCCGCTTAAGCTAACATATTTTCATCTTTTTTCTTTGACGTTTGCTACTCTTCGACACTCCTTTGTGGGTTTGTGCGTTACCCATTGTAAGCTTGTCATGTTCGTAAAGGCAAGAGTGTTTTAAATTTTTCTTGGAGTCATCCAACTATAAGTTATCGTAACCCATACTTTATTGATAATGGTTCTACATGATGGCCTATGAAGCCTTTTTCACTTGCTTACGTGAAATGGGTGCCCATATAATACCATCGATAGTTTGTGAAGCAGGAACTGTGTGTATATAAATGGAACTAAATAAATTAGTAGTATGCATACTGTTATTACATTTCTGACTTTTATTACATTCTGTATTAGTACACTGAACTTTGAAAGTGTGACAATGTTGGTAAGGAAAACGTCGGGAAAGAAATTTCCCCACGTTAACACTGGTGTAAAAGTTCAGTGTTTCTCGTAAGTTGGGACAGCGTGATAACACTAAATGGTTAAAAAAACCTTTGTTTTCGTGAATTACTATAATAACGATATCACAGAACTTACACTTTATTCAACTTTCTCTGCGACAAAAGGTAAACAAACTATAAAAACGTTTTTAATAGGTTGAATTTTATACGCATTTAAAGTTAATATTTAAAAAGAAAAATAGTGTGCACGGTCCACACATCTGAATTGAAACTTCTTTTCTTAAATAACCTAACATTAGACGGTGCATAAGGCATAGGATAATGGAGCAGCGAACGCACGCATCACTCATATACAGGGTGGTCCAATTAGTGACGTCAACAATTTTGTTTTTGATTCCTAGCTCCTGGGGGTATCCAAAAATACCTCATGAATGTTCTGCGATTTTTCTTAGTTTTCGAGTTATATATTTTTTGTGTATTTTTAATGATTTCTTTAGGTTTAGGTTATTAGGTTTCATAAATTCATATATTTTTTCGTAGTAGGTATTTTGCGTTCTTTTTTTTGTGACATAATTGTTATTGTTTGTTATGTTATTTTAATAAAAAAAAACTCAGCTTTCTGAAATTACTTAAACTTACTCAAAAAAGGCTTGAAAGTTGGAACTTCAGTTTTTAGAAAGATTTACTCAAACTTTCAACTTCAATTTAAAAATACAAAACGGAGTTTCCATAGCTTCTGGCTAACATTAAAAACTCTGCCTGCTTCTAAACTACCAAAAATCATAAAAAAATAGTACTTAATCAGCCTATTTTTGTTGTATTTGGCCTTCGAAAGCGGATAGGCTAAAATCATTGAAACATGATTAAAGCAATAAAAAGTATTTTATCTACTTTTTATCATTGTTATGGTAAATTAAATTTAAAACTGTAATTTCAAATGAAATTTAATTGAAATTCCTCTAAAATAACTTCAGCATGTGTGATTTTACAATAATTTCTGTTTTACCACTAAGATTTAAAATGCGAACTGATTTTTGTTTAAGGTAAGTACTAGTGTGAAGAAAAAAAGAGATAAAATCAGTTATGAGTAGTTAGCAGCTAGTCTACACGCATACGTCTAGTCGCACGCACACAAACACCGTGCCGAAGTCTGCCGAACAGAAACGACGTCAGATGATGCACGGCTTTCAACGCCGCACCGCTGTGCAGGTCGGAGTGGGGGGCGTTAGGTTTATTTTCGTTACGGTCTTATATTTCTTGATTCAGTCGCCGCGCTTAAAGCCCGCGATAAGCTATGCAATAGCTTAAAAATTTTTTTTAAGGTTAATAATAATATTTATATAGAAAAATATGTTTAACAGCATATTATGATTTCATTTGTTGATTTTTGCATTAGTGAAGTTTATTTTTATTAAATTAGCAATCAAAAAAGCAATTTACCAGTAGTACGTATTATGTAGTTAAACTTATTCTTGAAAATCAGCAATATATTTTCTGATAAAAAAGAAATCGGCTGGAGTATTTATTTTATAAATTATAGCTAATGGTTGGAAACAAACCACCAAAAAACTTTAATTACGTTTATTCATAAATCTCCTTATTGATATTTTTCTCATCTAGAATTGAATAGGAGCTTCGAAAATTTAAAGATTCGTAGGTATAATTTACTTTAATTCGATCAAGTTGTTCACTTGCGAATAATTTAATCATGATTTCCTTCAATGAGTCTGCCTGAACGCTCGTTCGCCTCAGATGTTATCGAGACAAGTTAGTGAAGTGAGCTGCGGACATTTAATGAGCCAGCTAAATTTTGCTAGACCTGTTGGAATCTTATCTCAGGTTGATTATTTGTCTGACTGTCTGCAGAGACTTCAAAAAAATAGCACAATCTGTTATAAAGTTGATGCATAAGTTTTAAGAATTCAACAATTTAAAAGAAATATGTTTACATCTTCTAATATATAAAATTGTTTGTGGTTAAACTCCTCCGAAATGGCTTTCCCGATTCTCATGAAATTTTGTGTGCATATTGGGTAGGTTTGAGAATCGGACAACATCTATTTTCATCCCCCTAAATGTTAAGGGTAATCCAACCCTAAATTTTTTTTTCAATTTTAGATATTTTTTTTTATTTTTTTATGATACATCATACAAAAATACATACATCCCTAAATTTTCAACTTTCTACCACCAACCCCTATTTTTTTATGGCGGTACGAAGTTCGCTGGATCAGCTAGTAATCTATAATTTACAAAAAAAATAGTCAAGCCGATTTTGTTTATCATTTATTCCATTGTTGATATGCAAGAATCAGTTTAATTACAAATACTATTATTTAATTGCTTTTTAATTTGAAATTGAAGAAACGAAAAACCTTTGATAAAAATAATAATTACTTTTGGAACTTTTGAAATCAACAAATCAAAACATACTTTGGTAAACATCAATATATATTTATACATAATTACTATTTTATTATTATTATTTAATTCACAAAAAGAAAAACAAAACTTTATAATATGAATAATTTGAAGAATATTATTTGCAGCACTTTTTCTAGGTGTTAAGTTTGATAAGAGCTTTATTTCAGCACGGATAAATTAAACTGTAGCACTACGACGTAGCTGCTACGCCAACGCCGTATCGTGTATCTACGGGTTTCGTATCTAATACTTATTCATACAGTATCCTTAGTACGAACCAACATCGAATTCGAATCGTTTGCGAGTCCGAAATGTCATTGTCAAATGTGTACTGATTTTTAGTTCTCGTTATGTACTTTGTGACGCTGCTGTTCAAGTTTCCATACAAAATGTGACATTTACATTTTGCACTCGCAAACCATTCGAATTCGATAATGGTTCGTGCTAGGGGTACAGATTATTATTAAACGAAAGCATTATTGATACAAATATTGGTCACGTCATGTAACTAGCAAGATTGTATTTAGATACGGCAACATATTAAATATATGCTGTCATTGTCTCTGCCATATCTTAACGATGCCACATATGACTGGCTGTTCCTAATTTAGTGTCAACAATGGCAACAGGATAGCTTTTCGTCTATCAGTTATTAGTTTCCGAAACTGTTCTTTCCGTGGATAGTTTATCGTGTGGTTATACATATCTACACACATCAAAAGTGTCTAGGGATCAACATATATTTTTGCAAGAACTTTTCTCCTGATTGATATTAATTAAAATTTTCTTTAAGGATTCATCAAATAAAGTGTTTTCGTTTGTCACAGTAACG